TCGAAAAATTATTGTTTTGAGTGGATGAACATCGAAATAGTAAATAAAAGATATTTACTATTGAAAAATGACGAGATTGATGAAAATTCTTCTACCCAAAAAAAAATTATTTCTGGTATATGACATCATTTTTTATATCATCATTTTATATGACATCATCTTTTTTATGGCATACAAAATCTAACCAAATTGGTGAACTGAAAAAAAAATCCCATGATCGGATTGAGATGATCGAATACTTTTATTCTATGGAATCTGATAAACATTTTGAAAAAAAAATCGCGGAAAAAATTTAGAAAAAAAACCCGGATTCCTGTGTTTTAATATTAACAGTCATAGTGTCAGAGACCCGATTCAAGCTGGCATTTGAATTCCAATTTTTTTGAGTCGATTTATAAGTAAAATCTATTTCCACAACCTAAGAGAATAAAAATCGTCAATGATCGAAGAAAAAAACTCTTTGGCTATGCAAAAATCATTGATATTGATATTTACAATTTACACTTGTACCTTATAAGATATGGAAAGTCTCAGAAGATAGGTCCGTAGCAGGAACTGGGTCTGTGACCGGAATATTAGGCAGGAACGAAATGAGTTATATTCGAAAAACTATAGTGTCTAGTTTTCAATAATTTTTTGGCAGATAAGAATCACGACATTGACCCCACCGTGGGTTCTTTCTCCTTGAAAACTCTTTACGCAGGCTTTATTTTATTTTTCTCCCTCAAAAGTTTTGTCAAAATACATGTAAGTTCGATGGCTGATTAGTCGCTTTGGAACCGCTTTTCTCTAATAGAAAATAGAAGGCGCGACCGAAAGGTTCCATTGTAAGTGAATTTGACCAAAGTAACAAGAAACCGCACGAAGAACGGAATGCAAAACTAACGGAAGGAGGCACTCTTTATGCGAAAGGTCTACGCTGTAGCCTCACGGGTAACATCATGCACCTATCTACCCTCAGTTTCATTTACTAATGAAGGGAGGAAATCTTCATCCGAACTATCTACTTTGTAACCTCACAGGTAACATCGTGCACCTGTGAACCCTCAATGCTATTTATTGCAGCCTTCCAATATCGTTCCGAACTCGCAGTTAATTCAATAGAAAATTGAGAATCTCCATTATTCGTCAGGTAGGCCTGTGCTCACTACGCCAAAATATTGCGAATGAAAGATCCTTGGAATACAAAATCCATTGGAACATTATTCCGTTGACTATTATGTCGATCACGTTTATGATTGCTTCGGGCGTGCCTTCGGGAATGGGTATATAAAGACACGAACGACAATTTCCTGACACTTTTCGAACGTCAACGATGGAGAGAACATCGAGAGCTAGAAAAACCCCTGCGCAATTTGGAGATTACGTTGATCTTCCAACGACATCGTCAGAGGAAGAAGTGATGAAATCTAGGGTAGCGCTAGAAGCATACAACCCACTGGCCAAGTTGAGGGCAGAATCATCTTCTGAAGCTGTGGAGCAACCCTTCGCTCCCATCTGGCGAAGGCCACTGTCCCCTGCCCTTCTATCAGCAAGCAGCATCATGGAAACTTCGCTAACGCCCCTTCAAGGTAGTGCGTCAACATCATCTTCAACGGGAGTCAACATGAGAAATAGCCCAGCTGCCATACCTGTAAACAATATGGCCCCAGGGATTGGACCGATTCCTGTTGGTTTCCCACAGTTGCATTATCACCCGTAAATGCAAGAAGGCGTACCGCAAAGGCAGCCTCATTTCTGCGCTGGTAGCTTATCTCACGACGATTTGGTGGAATGCGTTGAATCGAGAGTAAAAATTGCTGTTAGGGATGAGTTCAGAAGGGAGAGACATTATAACCAGAAGCAAACCCAAAAACCCCGTTTTCTTCCTCTCAAATCTCTGGAAGAGATAAAGGCCATTGATGAGATCACCCCAGCAATGGAGGACCACTTTATTCAATGGGTGTTGTTTAACTGCGGGAAAAATCAAATCCCAAGGAGTTTAGCATCATCGCTATTTGGAATAACAATAGCTTCGAAGGAATTAATACAGGAGCTCACAATAATCAAAGAAATGGCAGACAAGCACATTTTGAAAGACAATAAATATTGTGAACTGTTAATCACAGTGCTGAGACTAGCTTGGCAGGCATGCCTGTGGCTGATCTTCGCCACATTTTGACGAAAGGTCTCAGAACTCGGAAAAATAGTAAAGAGTGGAAAAATCGCTGATATCCATATACATCAATCGGCTCTTTTCAGAGCCACAACAAATTTCTAACGTATAAATTCACTTCAAATTTCCACTTGAAAAAAAATTGATTTTCCTTGGAACTTTTTTTCCATAACGACAGATGATTTTCTTTCAAACAGCACTTATTATATAATAGTCAATGCATCAAATTATGGCATTATATGGTATCTATCCGCCAATAATTGAATTAGAGAGTTCCGGTTGCGCTCATTCTTCTCATTTTGAATTATACTTTTCGACAAAAAATCGAAAACTTTGAAAATTTGGAGGCCATTTTTCATAGACAGAATTGGCGGATTTGCTCATATGTAAAATTCAATGGCAAACATCTTTCATTGAAACCATTCTCTATCTCAATTGAGTTTGCCGATAAACGCATCGGAGCTCGCCGACACTTCGCGCAAGTGTTAACGCGCTGCCCGCTTCGGCCCCACCCCTGATAATTTATCTATCATAGTTGAAGAAAAAAGCTGTGAAACAAAAAATGTGTATGTTTACATGGCAAATAATTATTGTTTCAAACTTTTTTCCCTATCTGCAACAGTTTCCGTGATATGATAGTTTAAATTATTATATTGCTCTTATAAATGAATAGACTCGACTACAACTCAGAAAAACCGAGTTGGATTCGGATCAAGCACCACCGAAAACGTAAATTCCAATGATGAAATTTATTTTTTTTCTTTGTAGCGCATACAGAAACTGAGCTTGCGTATTTACTATCTGTATTTCCACTCTAAAAAGTGGCTTGAAATAACATTTCGGTGGTATCAAATATTTGTGAATTTTTTCAGACTTTTAAAATCCACTCCAAAAAATCATAGAAAATGAAGGGATTAATAGGAAAAAATCTGAAAAAAATCGGGGTCCGTTTTTCATCGAGTAGAATCATTATAAAAGTTATGAAACAGGGCTGCAATGGCCAGAGTTCAAATTGATCCTATGAGATAGAATGCCCCATATGCATGTGCAATCGAAATACGAAAGGAAAAACAGGATGATGAGGGAAGAANTCGCTGATATCCATATACATCAATCGGCTCTTTTCAGAGCCACAACAAATTTCTAACGTATAAATTCACTTCAAATTTCCACTTGAAAAAAAATTGATTTTCCTTGGAACTTTTTTTCCATAACGACAGATGATTTTCTTTCAAACAGCACTTATTATATAATAGTCAATGCATCAAATTATGGCATTATATGGTATCTATCCGCCAATAATTGAATTAGAGAGTTCCGGTTGCGCTCATTCTTCTCATTTTGAATTATACTTTTCGACAAAAAATCGAAAACTTTGAAAATTTGGAGGCCATTTTTCATAGACAGAATTGGCGGATTTGCTCATATGTAAAATTCAATGGCAAACATCTTTCATTGAAACCATTCTCTATCTCAATTGAGTTTGCCGATAAACGCATCGGAGCTCGCCGACACTTCGCGCAAGTGTTAACGCGCTGCCCGCTTCGGCCCCACCCCTGATAATTTATCTATCATAGTTGAAGAAAAAAGCTGTGAAACAAAAAATGTGTATGTTTACATGGCAAATAATTATTGTTTCAAACTTTTTTCCCTATCTGCAACAGTTTCCGTGATATGATAGTTTAAATTATTATATTGCTCTTATAAATGAATAGACTCGACTACAACTCAGAAAAACCGAGTTGGATTCGGATCAAGCACCACCGAAAACGTAAATTCCAATGATGAAATTTATTTTTTTTCTTTGTAGCGCATACAGAAACTGAGCTTGCGTATTTACTATCTGTATTTCCACTCTAAAAAGTGGCTTGAAATAACATTTCGGTGGTATCAAATATTTGTGAATTTTTTCAGACTTTTAAAATCCACTCCAAAAAATCATAGAAAATGAAGGGATTAATAGGAAAAAATCTGAAAAAAATCGGGGTCCGTTTTTCATCGAGTAGAATCATTATAAAAGTTATGAAACAGGGCTGCAATGGCCAGAGTTCAAATTGATCCTATGAGATAGAATGCCCCATATGCATGTGCAATCGAAATACGAAAGGAAAAACAGGATGATGAGGGAAGAATAATAGTTGAGGAATCCTTTGAAAAAATATCAACACCCCTGCTTCCATCCGTTTACTCAGGCGGCCCGCCTGCAACTGACGCTCTGGTGTACCGACCGCCGGCGACCAGAACGTGGAAATTCCAAAAATTGACCCTACGCCATCTACTGGAAGGTTCTTAGGACAAAAGGTCATAAAGCAATAGTAGTAAAAGGTTTATGAGGGGCCCAAGGATGGACCCTTTGCCAATGATACTTTTTTTTATTTTCCCTTATAATCACCCAACGACAGCGCTGGCTATCTATAGGCGTAAGGACTTTGATTATATTTCGCAAGTAAACCACAAAAATGCCCCTCCCCCCACAGTAAACTGCAGCTAAGCTTGCTTCTGATCGTCGTACACAACTGAAATTCCGTATGGCTATACAATATCGATCGAAACACAAACATTATGCATTCACTGTGAAAATATCTCCATACCCTATGATCCATCAATAATTGATATTGAATATCTTGCGTAATACAAAGAGTATTTTTCCTCTACATAACATATTTTTTCTTCACACGAAAATAAATAAATGAGCGCAGTGGGACATGAATTTCTCATATCGTCGTTTTTCATTATTTACGTTTGTCCTCTGCATCCGTTCATACGGAGATAGAGCGCAACATGAAATGCGGGGAATCCCAGGGCTATTCGAGCTTAGGAATAGTTCAGTTGCAAAGAATAATCGATGGCAAATGCCGGATGGAACAAAGACACAAGATATGCGCTGGGTTGGTATAGAGGACTCATCCGAATATTAGGAATTTGGCCGCTAGATAGTCGAGGATTATTTTCCACTTTAAGGATTTTAATTGTTATATCAATTCAAGTGAGTTGAACATCATTTTTATGACAATATTCGTGATAGTTACATTTTGCGCATGAATAGCTCAGGGGTTTCAACTGTGGAAAAAAAACATTGACATTAATTCGACGTTTTTATAGAGCTATTTAATGAAATTTTTTTAGAAATTTCAGAGATTTCTGGAAATTTTAATAATTTTCAGAAATCTTCCCTTATGTGGAGTAAACATAAGACTATATTATTAGCGCATGTGATAACGTAGTTTGATGCTAAATGACAATTATAAAAACAGAAGTGATCAGAATTTTATTCTTCGTTTTTTAGGATTTTTCGGGGCTCCTATAGCCCGCAGAGCATAATAACCGACATTTACAGACAATTACCGACATTTTCACCAAAGGACAATAATTATTTTGCAAGCGTTAATACCGCCAGTGAGCTAGTCATGGAACCCTTAACCTATTGCCGGCGGAGAGTCGCGAATCGTCTCAGTGTGACGGAAGTGGGGGGGTCGCCAGTGCGTAAGTGCGCCATAAGAAAACCACGGCGGCGCACGCACACTACTACAAAATAGTTGAAAGTGGGGAACCGTGATCCACGGCAATGGGTTAAGAAACAAAGCCCAGTTATGGAACCGTATTGTTTTCAATAACTTACAAGTATTGTTGAACGGATATTTTTGGCTTCAGAGAAAGTATACAGCCCATTGTTTCTATTCAACTTCGTTCATCACAATAAATATACGTAAAGTCATATGGATTTTCGGCTGATTCCATAACCGGGGGGCCTATTCTCGAGTGGATAGGAAATATTTCCGTTTACGGAAGTGACACCGTATATGAAGTGCGTATAGGAATCACATAGGCGTTCCGTCTACGGAGCCACTTCCGAGCTCGGAAATATTTTCAATCCACTCGAAAATAGGCTGCCGGTACCGGTTTCATAACCGGGTCACTGACCATACATGATCACTTTGTTTTTCAAAGATTTCTGGAAAACTATAGCCATTAGTACTTTAAATCCAATTGTATTCAATTGCTGAGGAAATTTGCGATTTTCCTAGAGACTTAGCCATGATCAGAAGTCCATTCAGACATTTTTCACATTTTCTCAGTTTCTATCGCCCGTAGACAAAGTATTAATTATGTTTTTACGAAAATATTATTAGCTTCCCAAATTCATTTGCATTTAACTAAACTTCTTAAATACAGTTGAATTTCTGAAGAAATTTACCATTTTTCTAAGTCTATGCGTATTCGAGATAACGTTCCATAATATATTATAAAAAAATATCCATAGTATCATATTATTTGAGTAACAAACTATTGAAAAATACCATAAATCATTTTTTTACCATAATGTAACTCCCGTTTTGTCATACGAATACAATACAACAGCGAAATAGATCATTGACAGAAAACCTTCCACCAATTTTTAAATTTTTTTTTTATAGAGAATTAATTATTAATGTGATGTAATCGTTGATAATTAGCAAGGGATAATCAATATTATCCATTAATAATTTAATAATTTCTATAATAACTCAATCGTCAATAGCTGAGAAAATTGTCGGTTATATTGAATAAATAATGACAATTAATGCAACTATCGGCGCTTGAAATCAAGCACGTATATGAATAATTAATAGAAAAACTTAGCGAATTCCCTAAACAATTCTATTGAATTTCTATTGAACTTTCGATTAGTTTTTGGCCAATTCTATTGAAAGTGTCAATGGAAAATATTCCACAAAAAAGTCTGTAGCATTCAATTTTTCTATACATCTTATTCCATAGGGATATTTCCTGTAGAATTTCGTCGGCTCAAATTTTCCAAGTTTTTTTCCTTGAGTTTCTTTACGAAAAAAAAGAAAAATAGAATGAAAAAAACTGAAAAAATTTGATCTGAGGAAATTCTATAGATTATTTTTCTCACTCGGATTTCAGCCAATCAGAGCGCAGTATTTGAGGCTGTCAAACAGTTTTATTTCGGAAATTTCTAAAAAATTTCCATAAGTAATACCACAAGAGCTTTAAAATTATAAGGTATTTCCCGATAGGTTCGTTGCAAACAAACGAAGGAGTAAAGTTTTTCAGATTAAAAATCACGAGTACGAAGCACGAGTGACTTTTCCTGAAAAACTTGACGAGTTCGTTTGTATGCAGGGAACCTTGAGGGAAATACTTGATTAATTTTGAAGCTCGAGTGGTATTCGAAGGGGAATTTTTCCATCCAGATTTCGGCCAAGAGGATTGCACTATGAGACAAATTCCATCTGTCAATTCCAACGAAGGGTTCAATCGATCGGTAAATCTTTTGTTTTTCATAGACATGAAGGCAACGTGAAAAATTACCAGTTGAATTATCAAAAAATTATCAGTTAAATTTCGTGTTGATTATATAAAAAACAGTTGAATAGGGCAATCCTATTGACTGAAATTTGGATGGGAAAAATTCCCAGTAGTAACACCATTAGTGCTTCAAAACTATCGGATATTTTCCGATAGCTTCGTCGCCTAGAAACGATTGTGTCAAATTTTGCAGGTTTAAAATCCCGAGTGCGAAGCACGAGAAGCTATCGGAAAATATCCGATAATTTTGAAGCACTAGTGGTATTACTACTGAAAACATCTCAATAGAATGATTTGTATAGAAAAATCGGATTTTATTGACTTTTTCTGTAGACTATTTGGATTATAGTAACATTTCGATATTATTGAAACATTTCAATAGTTTTGACCGATTATTGAACACTTAAATAAAATCGGCTAAAAACTAGTAGAAAATCCAATAGAATTGTCTAGTGAATTCGCCAAGTTTTTCTATTAAATTTTGTCTCGCCTGAGATAATCGACAATTTATTTCATTGCAGTGTTCATTACAAAACTACCTATAATTTAATTCTACTCATTAACCACTGATACAATAATAAAATCTGAATAATGAGTATTACGCATCTGCCGATCTCTGATTTAGATTATTCTGGTGGCAATTTTTGTTCAAAATTGGATCGTCAAAGGTAACTGTGGCACTATAACTGAATTAGTAGATGCCGTAAGTCTCATCACAACCAGTCTGATGGCTGTGATAAAGATACTCCTCCCCTCGATCCACCGAAATAGAGTTTCTTCCATCGTCAATTCTGCTCTGCAAGACTGGTCGGACGTTGAAGACAAGAAATCGTGGGAAATAATGCGTCGATACGCCTATATAGGAAGACTAGTCTTCATCGTGCAAATGTTCGGCGCTTACATGACGATAATTCCCCTCATCTTGATGAGTCTCCCGAAATTCGTGGAAGTAGAGCATTTGGATAACAAGAGTGTATTCCTCCGGAATATACCGATTGGGCCGAAATGCTGGGTCTCCCTGGAAATCTCGGCGTTGACTTATTTTTTATATTACATTTTCGTTTGCTTACATTTGTTCATTTTGGCAACTGCGTACCTCGGAGGTGATGTGTTTGCATTCGGCCTCGCAATGCATCTGTGCGGACAATTTCAATTACTGTATAGGAGTTTGGACGAGCTTGATGGTGATGAGACTGAGTCAATTCAACGGGCGAGAGTGGCGAGGTTCTCCAAGCGGCACAATCAACTTCTCAAGTTGGCGGATGACTTTGAAGCGGCATTCCACATGTTGATCTTCTTCGAACTTGGAGCAAATACCTTCATCATCTCTATTTCGGGTAAAAACGATATATTCCGATGAGAGTATCAGTAAATATGAAATTATATCAATTGATCTGGAGGTCGTCAGTCAAAAAACAACAAAGATCAAATTTTGCTAGTCAATTAATATCATTTCACAATTATTATCATATGGTCGAAGAATATAATCATTGGAGTATTAATAATTTTATAGGAAAACCGGGAGAATTCGCCGGAAAATTCAATTGGATTTCTATTGAAGTTTCTATTAGGCTTTGACCAATTCTGTTCAAAATTTCCGCTGCTTATCTGCGCGTTTTTCAGTTGAAATGTTCAATAGAAAATATTCTGTACGGAAAATCTACAGAATTGGATGTTTCTATACAGCTTATTCTGTTCAGATTTTTCTGTAGAAATTTTTCGGCTCAAATTTTCTAAGTTTTTTGCTTGATTTTTTTTAGCGAGAAGAGAAAACATGAAGTGGAAAATACTTGGAAAATACATGTCGAAGAATTCTTATAGAAAATGTCCAAGACATTTTAGTTAAATTTTTGGAGTAGATTTTCTTTCGATTGAGTATTGAATAGAATCACGTGTGAAAAAGTGTAACAGAAAAACTTAGCAAAATTGATAAAGAATTCTATTGGATTTCTATTGAACATTCTATTACTTTTTGGCTGATATTATTGAAAAATTGCACAGTTTATCGGCGCATTTTTTTAATTGAAATGTTCAATGGAAAATATTCTGCAGAAAAAATCAGTAGAAGTTGACGGTTCTATAAAACTTATTCTATTGAGATATTTTCGTAATTATTTAATAGACCCGGCCGAAAAAATCAATTTTCAATACTGTTGGTCGCGTTATGAGCGTCGTGACGCATTTTTTCCGATTTCTTAAATTACACTGCATAGCCTCAGAAAAATTTGAAAGAATTTGACATCTCATTTTGACCCGTCTAGAAGCCCTATCAATGATTATTTTTCCCAATCGGATTTCGACCCATCAGAGCGCAGTATTTGAGGCTACTCGAAAGTTTTATCTCGGATATATCCTCCTAGCTTTTGAATATTTCGCAGTAGTACTCAATTTTTTTCACCTGAATATTTCGCAGTAGCTCTTCATTGTTTCGGCTCATTTGAGATAGAATCTTATATTTGACAGTCTATGGAAATCGGGTTATTCTCTTAACATCATTTCCCAGGTAAGAATTGACGACAGAAACACGGCTCATCAAGCCCTGGACCAAGGTACGGAAATGCTCAATCTGGGCTGGGGCTCAGCCTTGGATCAATCCTCCTTCAGCCCAAAAATGATAACCTCGTTTCAGGCTTAGTCCGCAAGACTTGAACGAGGCTCGGTGCCAAGGCTTGATTCAAGTCTTGAATTACCATATTTTAAAGGCTCAATCGAGCTTCGGCTAAATAAACTGCAGTATTGTTTACAGATATTTGTATAAACAATTTCTTATTACTTCATAACCCTTTTTATGAATTTAGAGTAACCTATGAAAGAGAGTGCCGTCGGACCGTACATCACTGTTGCTATTAAGCGTTGTTGGTGATTGTGATTGTCGGTTAATTAACAATGGATGGGAAAAAAATTATTATCATCATTAGTTTCTATTAATTATTCGTCCTGCATTATTACCGCGCACCTGGAAATTGAAATACAATGAAATCAAACATTTAAAAATTTGCTCCTCTGCTGGGGTTCGATCCGGGGTCCTTCTGATTCATAGACAAGCGCGCTATTTTTTTTTTTAACCATGTTTTTATTGAATAGACGACAGTATATTTACATATGTACAGTCATTTACAAGAAAGAAAAAAAACAGGTATATAAAAAAATTTAATGGAGATTATTTGTGCTATAGTAAACAATGGCCACTTTGTAGCTCTCGTGTGTATTTCGGTGATGTGCTTTATTTTGTTTAATTTCATGTTTGTATTGTTGTTTTAAGGCTCTCTTCAGGAGCTTTTGGATATTTTTTTGTTGAGGCGCCCAAAAAAAAAAAATTATGAAAAAAGAAAAAAACAGTAATTTTTTTGTGTGTGTAATTGATAGTGAAAAAAAAAGGACAAGCGCGCTATCCACTGGGCTACCTGCGACTTCTTAGGATGATATATTTTTTTCGGGTATAAAAATTCAACTTGTGTTAGTCTTATTTTGTTATTTTGTTGATNGTATTTCGGTGATGTGCTTTATTTTGTTTAATTTCATGTTTGTATTGTTGTTTTAAGGCTCTCTTCAGGAGCTTTTGGATATTTTTTTGTTGAGGCGCCCAAAAAAAAAAAATTATGAAAAAAGAAAAAAACAGTAATTTTTTTGTGTGTGTAATTGATAGTGAAAAAAAAAGGACAAGCGCGCTATCCACTGGGCTACCTGCGACTTCTTAGGATGATATATTTTTTTCGGGTATAAAAATTCAACTTGTGTTAGTCTTATTTTGTTATTTTGTTGATATCCTAATTAAACTTCCTGAACTTGAATAAATGAAAGGTCCGATGGATTTATGAGTTCAGAATCGATTGATTAATTAATTATAGATAAGGGTAATAATAATTATGTAGCCTCGTGCACAAAGGGCTGCTCTAGGCCTGGTCTGGGGGTAGCTTAGATAACTTGGCGGAAAATTATAGCTATGTTTGTAGATGATGATAATGTTTTCACCACCATTAGCTAATGAGTATTAATATAAAAATTGAGGAAATTAATCGAAAGTAACTTTTCGAAAGTAACTTTTCGAGGCCTTGCTGAGCCCTGAATAAGCCTTGACGTACTGAGCCTGAATACTGAAAGCCTGGACTAGGCCTGAATTGAGCCTCGCCAATGGCCCCTTTAATCATCCTCATTTGAAGCTCAAGTGAACGATGAAACCAAGCCTATCCCAGGCCTGAATAATTAAGCCTCGCCAACCCTGGGCTCATACAGGCTTGTTCTCATCATCAGCCTATGTAATTCTTACCTGGGTTGTTCAAATCTTCCCCAATTCACCTCTTGATGTTGTCCACTGCACTCTGCTTGGCCAAAATCCGATTGGGAAAAATAAACTGACAAATACCCCTCGAGATTCAAAATTAATCGAGTATTTCCCTCAAGCTCCCCTGCAAACAAACCACCGTGCCAAGTTTTGCAGAAAAATTCCTCGCGCAAGCGCTCAGGATTTTTTAACCTGCAAAACTTGACACCCTCATTTGTTTGCAACGAAGCTATCGGGAAATACCCGATAATTTTGAAGCTCTCGGGGTATTGCTACTAAATAATTTTCAAATTTATATTGCAAAACTGCGGGCCGTATACTGCTTATAAGGCGAATTTTTCGAATATATAATTAAGGCTAACACTGAACATGAAAAATCTCACGGGACTTCTTCAAGAATACGATCTAGATCACTCTTAATTTTTTTCAGATTTTTCCTAGATCTTTCAAATTTATCATTATGTTGATTTATACTGGTGCGATGCGGTGCTTATGGCGCAACCAACGGCGTTCGGAACTTTTACCTGACCAACGGAGTATTTGTAGATGTTCAATAGAAATCTAACAATGCCCGATTTTTTTCCACAGAAATAATTTTGCTCTGGGCCTGCAAAGTTGGAGATACTCAAATTATATCAGCAATGGCTATCAGAATTTACCTGATGTACATCCAAATATTTATGTACAGCTACATAGGCGAACATTTGTCAACCCAAGCAGAGAAATTACAAGTCGCTATTTACAACAGTCCCTGGTACGGAATGTCGCCGGCTATTGTAAGAGATATGAAATTCATAATGATGCGCAATAATTATTTGTTCCATCTGACTGCCGGTAAAATATGGAACATGGATTATGAGAATTTCAAAAGTATCGTTAGATCAATGTTCTCGTATTTTTCAATACTTCGTTTGATACTCAACGAATAACAACAGTTATTAATAAGTAATCGACATTGTAATTTAGAGAGAAAGAATATATTTTTCCACACCTCATTAAAGGGCATCATTTTATAAAGGCTCGTCGTAAGTATAAATTACCTTAAAAAAAATTATTGCCCATAAAGCACACACGAAAAAATTTGATAGAATAACCTAGCAAATTTGTTAGAAAATTCTATTGGATTTATATTGAACTTTCTATTAGTTTTTGGCCGATTCTATTACAATGTTCAATAGAACATATTCAATAAATTCTATTTTTTTATATAACTTATTCAGATATTTTTTATACAATTTCCGCGGCTCAAATTTTCCAAGTTTTTTTCATTCTATTTTTCTTTTCTTCTCATCAAGAAAATCAAACAAAGAAACTGGGAAAATTAGAGCCGCGGAAATTTTATAAAAAATATTTTTGTCATTCCGGCCGTGAGGCAGCGCTTCACGGACGCTCCGCTCCGCTCCGCGTCATCATCTCTGCCTACGGCCGTCATAACAAAAAATACTGTTCGTTATACGGCCAAAAAAACTTTTCTAGCTCATATGATTGCAAACTCATATTCGCCAGAAAAGTTTTTTTCGGCTTAGTGACGAAATATACTATTCAATAGAATAAGTTGTATAGAAAAATCAAATTCTTTTCACGTTTTCTATAGAATATTTTTTATTGAACATTTCAATAGAATCGGCCAAACACTAATAGAAAATTCAATAGAAATCCAACAGAATTTTCTAGCGAATCCGCTTAGTTTTTCTATTGAATTTTTTCATCAGTGAGATGTTGAACCCCACACACAACTTTCCACCCACAAGACTCGGTCTGAATCAAGTCGGACTGAATCATGCCGGGAATCGACTTGTTCCATATTGAATTGACGGCATGAATGAAGTCGGACTCAGATAGATGCAAACCGGAATATCCCCCTTATGTAAAATCTTTTCCTCCTTGACGAAACCCCATATTACCAAATCGGCTTGAATCAAACCGAAAAATCGACTTGAATCACACCGAAAAATATACTTGAATCAAACCGAAAAATCGACTGGCACCAAGTCGTTATCTACTTCAAACCAATGTCAGCTTGACACGTTTCTACTTGAAATAAACCACTTTTGGAGTTATATCCGAGTAGTCCGAGTCACTCGGTTAATCAAACCGACGTTGACTTGATTCAGTACTTTTTTCTGGGTGATCCTCCATCAGAAATATCTCTTCTCCTCTCATCGACACACTCTTTCAAAATCCCATGAAATCTCTATAGATTTCTAAGAATTCCCCAAAATTTGTTGAAATTAAAAAAGATTTCTTATTGGAAACAAAATTGTGCACTCACTCAAAAATCTCCATCCATCAGCGTAATCATGGAAAAAGAAAGTTATCGCGAGTGAACAGACTTCGACATTCTAGCGGAAACTATTTCCAAGACAAGCCTACACAACCCTCCCGTGTACCGCCTGTGCAATATTTCCCAACGTGACACTTGTCTCGAGCTGATACCTCCATAAAGTAAAACATAAAAAATGCATATTACTCCTCCACCGCAACAAAACTATTCCCCCGGAATAGCGTGCATTCCTCGCTAGGGCATGAATTATACATCTCCACGCTGTGTGTATCCCAAGTTTCATTAATAAAAATATGAGTGCATAAGCTCGCCCCGCGTCAGAGTCTCCAGACAGCTGAATGTAAGGACGATGATGGAGCTGGAAGCATCGAGGAAAGCTGAAAGCACGACGATTTTTCTCTCAGTGTGCCTTCTATTTATTGTCAGAATTTTTCGATGAATTCGCTAGAAAATTCTATTGGATATAGAAATCCACTTGCTCGTACTTTTTGGGCCGATTCTCTACTGAAAAATTCCCTAGTTCATTTACACTTTTTTTTTCAATAGAAATGTTCAACGGAAAACATTCTATAGAACAAAAACAATAAGATTTAATTGTTCTAGAGAACTTATTCTACTGCGATATTTTCAACAGAAATTACTCGACTCAAATTGCAGAAGTTTTTTGGTTGATTTTGTTTTCATAAAAAGAGCAGACGAATATAAATCTGCCATATATATTCATATATATATTCTGCTATTCATATTGTTGTCAATTATATGAATAGAATTGATTCCTATAGAAAATGTGCCAATACAAAAGGTTGTACAGAATGCATAATTCATAAAAAACTAATAGAATATTCAATAGAAATCCAATAGAATTTTCAATTGACGTCTAGTTTTTTCTATGAAATTTTTTCGTGCATGTTGACTCAAAGAAATACTGGAGTGAAATTTCCCCCGACAAATCCATGAGAAAAAATTTCTCCAGAAGAAATGCAGCCCGGATATCCCTTGATTCTTTCCAGCTCTTGATCTTTTGACTCCAGCTATGGATGTCCATAAGTCTCACCAAAAAAATACTGACCAAAGGAAACTGTGGATCAGTAACTGACAACGTCGATGCCCTGAGCCTGATATTTTGTGGATTCCTAACGGTAATGAAAGTCGCTATACCCAGAACTCATCAAAAAAACATGTTGACTGTTGTCGATTCAGCTATTAAAGACTGGTCATCAGTTGTCAGTGATAAACCCAGCAGCGTAATGAAGAAATATGCATACATAGGACGGCTTGTATTCCTCGTACAGATGTGCGGTGCATATGCTGCTGGTTTCCCCCTCATTTTCCTGAAACTGCCCTTCATCAATGCATTATGGAATGATCCGGAGGACAATGTCACACTTCGGGAGGTCCCCATGGGACCGAGATGTTGGATATCTGATGATGTCTCCACATATCACTATGTTGGGGACATATATTCTTCAATCGGTGCAATTGTTCGTTGTCTGCACGGCGTCCATCGGGTGTGACACTTCTTCGGCATTGCGATGCATGTCTGCGGACAGTTTGAAGTGCTGCATATGAATGTTAGGCGTTTGGATGGTACTAAAGACAGCTTGAGGTGGAGACAGAAGCTCCATGACTTCGTCAGGAGACACAATCATCTTCTTCAATTGGCGCATAATTTTGAGGAAACGTACAATGCTATTATTCTCGCCCAAGTTGGAGTCGATACCTTGCTCATCTGCATATCAGGTCATTCTTTACTGTAGTGATTAATTTCAGACGCACCGGAAGAGAAGAGAACTACTGAAATGCAGATAAAACTTTGTGCCATGAATTTTCTGCGAAACGGATGGAAAATCTGAAAGATGGCTTGAAACATTTGTTCTTTTATATAGAAACCGGATGAAGCGAGTTGAGGATAATCCGAAGCGGACAAATAATTTTTAGAGATATTTGAAATTCGAGGTTGTTGTGTCCCAGATATTGTAACAAACATTATTGAAATAATGCAATTATGAAGAAATTAGGAGTCAGCATCGTATTACAACACGAATCCGTTTTGTAATACGAATCGAGGCAAGTGTGCCACGGTTTCCAATAAAACCGAGGACACACTGGACTCAGGAATTCATTTTTAGTTCATTAGTTCACTGTCAAGATTATCGATGAAGTTCATTACCGAATTAATCATTCGAACTCACTTTTGTATCGAAGTCAACCATTACTCTTTAGTTAGAAATAAATAAACTAAAGTATCTTAAACTGCTGAGATTGAGTTCATATTACTCGACCTTTCTACCGTACATTACATTATTTGGTGGCAGCCCGTGTGTTCTTCATATAACGGAGGCCTGATCAACCGCCGTTGGAGACAGCAGTTGAGAAAATAGTTATAATTTTCTACACTTCAAAGGAAACGTGTTTCTCGTTTTGGAAGCATTGAGTTGTTCTGGGACGCCGGAATAGTAGCAGCCGACTTTTCTGAGGGGAAAGAGGCGAAATCCAACTGGTATTGGTTTTCCTGGTTTCGAGGAAATCAAACAGTTTTGAGGACTGTTTTTGAGGCGATACGTGACCGAGACTGACAGGGTAAGCGAGTTTTTTTTGCTTTATGGGATCAGGGAGTCAGAATATTCAGGACGAATTTGATTCTCTGGAGGAGTTGGCCCGAGTTGTCAGAGGAAATTTGCGTTCAGCGGGTGTAATCGTAGAGTCTACTGCGGAGGCTTCTGAGGAGTTTGCGGAGGCGCAAAGGTTCCGACGTGGTGTCACGATGCGCAGGGCACTGAATTTCAATTTCAACAAAAGGGACCGTGCTTCCAGTTCCTTGGCCGAAGGGGGTCCACGACGTTCCCGTAGTGTGGATCACCTTGCGGCGAGTGTTCCAATACAGCCACTAGCGCAACAGGAACAAAGTGTGCAGCAAGGGCTACGCAGTGGAGACGGTGCACCGATGCGACCGGCACCAGCATCGCCACAGCCAGAGCCACAACAGCAACAACAAGAATATCGAGATGAGAGCCATACTCAACGAGGCACACCTGAGGCAGCTGGCCGAATGCAGAGAGAAGAGTTTAGTACACCTATGTCTACTCCAATCTCGGTGCCCGGGGGTTCATTACTCTTAGGTAATTTTACACCACCGTTGCATGAACGGGGGATACTGCCAGAGCCAAATATTTCGGGGATTCAGAATATCGACACCCATGACATTATCCGAGGGTGCGGAACAGAGCATGTGGTGGAGAACATGATGAAGATCTTGGGGATGTCCAGGACGGGTTGCATGAAGAAGCTGAGGAGCGGAGACGATTGCAGAACGAGTTACGAATGTACCATAATCGTAACGCAGCCGGGGAAGTCAACCCACCCAGTAATCATGTGAATCCTGGTGGTGGTCAAAGTCAGAGGGGGCTCATTGACCTGAAGGGCGCTCTACATTTAATTCATCCATACAACGGCGAGGGTGCCGATGAGTTAATACCATTTTTGGGGTCGTGTGAGGGCGCAAAGTATTTATTACAACCTGAGCTATATTCAACACTCCTCAAAACAATTTTGAAAAACAAATTGACTGGCAAAGCATTTGTACAGTTGAAGCATAAAACAATACAGAATTTTGGCGAACTAAAGGTTGAATTAGAAGCCTTATTC